GAGGTCTTCATAAAGTGGCTATCGAGAAGTGACACCAGTCGGACAGTGGGGCATGATGACCAAAATTTTATCCCCAAAACTTTTCTTGTCCTCATCAGAGAAAATAATTTATTACCACAGACCACTGCAGCCTGAAGCCAAGGGTATGAGGAGAAGAGAGACAGCACAAGGACTGATGAGACCCTTCTGACTAGGAGAACTCACACACGAGGCCCTGCCACCAAGTGGTGGGCAGAGACTCAACTTGGATCTGGAAAACCTAGACACACCGTGCCCCTGAAAATTCCAAATATTTCTACCTCCAGCAAGTGGTCATGATTAGTGCAACACCAGTTCATCTGGGGTTATCCCCACCCCCAGAATGAAGGCCAAATGAATGCCTCACCAGGGCCTCAAGACACCACAACTTGGCCTGTCCTGAAAGGGGGATATTTCACAGCCAGGATTAGCTATGTGGATAAAACTTGAACATGATGTTCACTGAGAGAAGCCGGACTCCATTTATGTGAAATATCCAGAATAGGCAAGTCCAAAGATGGGAATGAGGTTAGTGTTTGCTAGGGGCTGGGGAGGTAGGTAGGAGTAACTGCTGATAGGGACAGGGCTTTTGGAATTAGATGAATATCTATATATAAAAAAAAACTAATATGCAAATAGACTGAATGGCAGAACAACTGAACAACTGGTTGCTATGATGTATGCTGACCACCATGGGTTGCACATAGAACACTGATGTTTCTATGGCGGACACTGGCTATAGCAGGATGGTGGAGCAGGTAAGCAGGGGTGCCAGACCAAGGCGGGACACCAGCCGCTATCATCAGGGCAGGCCTCTGGTGGTTACTGAAAATTCTTTGCTCTCGTGCACCAAGGTCCCGCCAGGTGCTTGCACCTGCTGCAGATGCCAGCCCACTCGTACCTGCTGCTGGCACCAAAGCCACTGCTCGCACCCATTGCCGGCGCCCAGCACTAGCCCCAATCACTCAGCACTGTTGGTGGGTGTGAGCAGCAGCTGCAGGCCCTGATCACACCCCTGAGGGCTTCTTCACATCCCCCAGTTCCTGAAGGGCAATCTGGGCAGCAGCCATGACTCACACTCCCTGCTGGCATCGGTCCTAATAGCTCTGTGCCCTCAGTGGGTGCGAGCAGGGCCGGCGCCGCCAGTCAGTCAGTCAGCCCGTGGGAGCAGCAGCGGTAGGAGCAGGGCTGCAGACAGACAGGGGGCCAAGTTCATGGCAGGAAGTGCCAGGAGGGGGTGCAGAGGATGGGCACCTATGCCCACTACAGCCTCGTGGCCCACAGTTCCTTTCAAGGACACAAATTCGTGCACTGGGCCCTAGTAATTCATATTATAATATTCTCTAGACGTGTAAGATGTCACCATTGAGAGAAACTGGATAAAGAGAAAATGTGGTATCTCTGTATTATTTCTTATGGCTACACAAGAATCCACAATTATCTCAAAACAAAAAGTTTAAGAAAAAAAGGATGGAGTTCCCACAGGGAGACTGGGTGGGCAGGTCCCTGTAGCTCTGCCTCCTCATCCCTAGTGAAATGTCCAAAGTTCTGGGGGGCCCCCTGACTCCCTCCAGCTCCCACTCATTAGGATCAGAGTTCACAGAAGGCATTGGATTTTAGGGATAGAGTATGAAAACTAACAACCACATGTGAACGCCAGACTTTTTTGATCATCCCTTCCCCTTTTACATAGGCTATTTCAACAACATAAAGCCATGGAAGGGTTAATCTGCCTTCCCCCTGAACTTGGATTAGGTAGGATTCACGCAGGCAGAGGTCAGATCAGTAAATATCTTCTGAGTCACAGGATGGCTGGCTCACTTGGCCGGCCCACTCAGCTATTACTCATTGCCAGCATTAAGGGCATGACTACTCAGAGGGCACTCATCAGAGAACTGTGGGCTCTGGGTAGGAAGCTGAGGGTGGAGACAGTCACACTGAGGCTGCTCCCCCCGCCCACAGCCTTATTAAGTCACCCAGGTGAAGGACCCCTGAACATCCTCATCTCTAATATTCTTGCCCTGCCACTCAGCAATCCAAGATGCCATTTACTCCCTTCTTAGCTGAGACCTAGTTTCCCACCCAAGAAGGGCCATCCAGCTTTAGAAATTATGCCACTGTGAACTGCAAGTGGGTAATAGAAACTCAGTCACTGAAGGAACAGAATGTGCTGGGTCTCCCCCTCATGTTTGTCAATTGCACAAAAGCTGGTTTCCCAGGCTGGACACTTCTTGGTGTGGCCTTTGTGGCTCTTTGCACTTCCTCCTACAGATGCCCCTCCTCAGAGAATCCACCCACACCTCCCACAAGACAAGAGTGGTAGCTCCGCCCCTCTGGGACCTCAGCTGACCCTATATACAGGGCTGCCAGAGCTCTGCTAACTTTTATGTTTATACATCATTCACCTTCCTTCATCTATAAGTTTCTTGAGAATAAGAACATTGTCTACTATCCCCTGTGGGCCACCTCCAGGAAAACTAGAAATGAATCAGTGAACAAGTAAGCTCAGTCATTTCAACGGTGTGGTCACATGAGTAATCTGACCTTCCAGAAAGTTAAGCTTCCGAAGTAGCCCACTTTCTTCATGTATTCATCATTGAGTCATCACAAAATAAAAACTCTATAAGTACTGCCCCCTCATTTCCCAGAAAAAGCAAAATCCCCCAGTGGGGAAATGGGAGATTGACAGACGTCACTGCAAAGTAAGGCTGTTGCGAGCCCTGGCAGCTAGCTGAGAATTTCACTGGACTGGCCTGGCAGTGGGACAGCCACACCAGAAAGGGACCTGCTGACATGAGGTGGCACATCAGGCCAGGTGGGCAGCACACCCCCATCTCCTGCCAAGTGAGGCCAGGGCCAGCAAGGGAAAGATGCGCTGTAGTTCAGAAACACCTGCCACTAGAAAGCCAGGACCCAGCCAGGAGGCCTTATTTACAAGGTTTATAAATCCCAGTGGCCTTGCTCCACCCGAATATAAAAGCAGGTGATAGAAACAACCTGGTAAATTTTCACCTTAGTATATAATGCCTGGGTGCTGGGTCACAGTGGTTTTAATCCTACCCATGTTCAAAAATATCAATGTGTAAAGTACACAAATGTTCATTGTACACTCAGTACAGCCTCCCCATCAGACCCCCATCCTGTTCCTAAGCATTTCCCAAGAGAAGTGAAACCCAAGTTCACATAAAAACCTGACTGAGGATGTTTAGAGCAGCTTTATATGTAATCCCCTCCAAACTGGAAATATCCCAAGTGTCCTGCCACCAGCAACCTATGGATCAATGGGATACACAGCCAGAAAAAGGAGTTACTTTTTTAAATTATTATTTTTAAATATATTTTTATTCATTTCAGAGAGGAAGGGAGAGAAGGGAGAGACAGAAACATCAATGATGAGAGAGAATCATTGATCTGCTGCCTCCTGCACGAAACCCTGGAATCGAACTATGACCTCCTGGTTCATAGGTCGATGCTCAACCACTGAGCCACACCAGCCAGGCAGGAGTTACTTTTTAGACCCACTACAACAGGGATGAGTCGGGGTATGTTTTTTTGAGCAGAAGCAGCCAGAATCAAAGGGCTCTGTGCTGATCAGTCCATTGACCTAACTTTCTGGAAAAGGCAAAACTGTAGGGATAGAGGTTAGAGATTGCCAGAAGGTGAAGGGCAGTTGGTGGCAAAGGGCAGCAGAAGGGACACTGAGAAATGACGTGATTGTTTTGCAGTCTGATTGCCATGGATCTGTCAAAAACCCCTACAACTGTACCCTAAAAAAAAAAAGTGAATTATACCACGCCACAAAGAGAATTAAGTTTTAAACTATGCACTGGACAGCCACAGGGACTCCCACTCTGTTTCCTCTAGCTTTGGAGGGCTCCCCACGCTGCCCACTGTTCCAGTCGCCCCCTAGGACACACACCGGAAAGGCCAGAACTGGACTAGACCTCACCTCCGAGTTGGGTTCGAGATGAGCAAAACTCCAGAGTGCTCCAGCGCACGGCAGGCTAGAAACCAGGAAAAACCTCAGACACCAGCCCCCGGGCGGTCCCAGTGTCCCAACCCCGCCCCGAGGGCGATGTTTCCAAAAACTGACAACACGCCCTGGGCGTGCGAGGGGCGGGGCGCCCGGGCTTCCCCGCCGGGTCCCCCGGAGGCCCCGCCTCAGGCACCCTCCCCCTCTCGCCCCGCAAGACTGGCGCGCGAAAGGGCGCCCCAAAGACGCCGGCCCATGGCGCCTGCTGCGTCTTCCCTCCCGACGGCGCGCCGCCCGGCCGGCCGGCCGGAGAGCGGACGCAGGGACACCGACAGCGACACGCACCGCCCCGCACTCAGGGACGAGAGAGAGAGAGGCCGAGGCGCCCACCCCGCGCCCTGCATTTACAGTCACCCCGGGGACAACTTTGTAAATTTCCGCTCGACCTGTCATTTTCCCAGGGCCTCTCGAGACGGGGGACGGAAAGCCTCACACCCACCGTGCGGGTTCCCGTGCAGAAAGCCTCACTCTGGTCTGGCCGGTCCTGCCACTCGGGATTAGGGGGGCAAACGGCCGAAAGCAACACAAGCAACACACAACCAGGGGGAGGGAGAAGGAAGAGATGCCCTCACACATAAAACATAACGCGGAGCCCATTGACAGCTCAAGGAACAAACTACAAGAAGGAAAAGGAAAAAGGAAAAGAAAGCAAAAACAGAAACCCTGAACGTCAGAACATGAAACACGGGCAGGCAAGTTCGCCAGCCACCCCGGCCCGGAGGACCGGGGTCCCAGGGAGCCCCGCACAGGCGAGGTCTGGCGGCGGAGCGCGGGGTCTGGCCGCGGAGACACCCCCACCCCACACACACCCCGGGCAGGCGGGAAGGGAGGGTCCCCACGAGTGTTCATGGGATCGAGTGGTTCCGTTGCTCGGCGGACCCCCAGCGCGCTGCGCGGAGCGGGGGTCTGGAGAAGGGGCGGCGGAAGCGGAGGGGAGGGTAGTACTCACGTAGACCGGCAGCGGCCACGGGTAGACGGCGGGCTCGGCCCCCACGGGCGACTTGAGCCTCAGCTCCAGCTTCTCCCCCATGTCGGCGCGCGCGGCCGCCGCACCATGCTAGTCGGGCGGTTGGGGGAGGGGCGGGGCGCCGCCGGCGGGGGCGGGGCGGGAGTGTCAAGGAGGGCGGGCGGGAGGGCGGGAGGCAGAGGAGAGGGGCCCGGGCCTGGGCCTCGGCCGCCGCCGCTGCCGCCGCCGCCGCCACGCTCCCGTCCAGCTCCCGGCTCCCTTTTTGTGGTCACAGGACCAGGGCCTCCAGCGCCGCCGCCATCTTGGGCCGGCGTGAGACGAACACAATGAGCCGGGAACAGGACCGAACCACTCGCCGCGCGCGTGCGGGGGGGGCTCGGCGCGAGGCGGCGGCGCACGCCCGCTGCCCCTCCCGCCGCGCCGCTCGCGCCTCCCCTGCTCTCCCGCCCCATGGACTCTCCCGCACGGACGCACGCACGCGCGTGCTTAGCCGTCCCCGGCCGCCCCAGCCTGCGGATGCCGGGACCCAGGGAAATCCCGCGGGGCCGTGGTGGCGGGTTCGAGCCCCGCCCTTGAAAGAAGGCACCCGCCCCATAATAAAGCCATAATTCTTTATTACATATGATGGACGGAATCCAGGTCTCCGCTCCAGCTCGAAGTACAGAACTTGCTCAACAGGAATACTTCTAGCATTTGCTAGGCCCAGATCTTGGCCACTCAGTGCTGGCAAGGAAGAAGTCGGTTTAGCTGACAGTGGTCATGGGGGAATATAAAACAAGTGTCATAATTGCCACGGGATGGTTAATCTTGGTGTTCGCTATGCCTGCAAACTTTATCCCAGATGTGGTCCCTAGGTATTTTTCAGATGAGATTAACACAGAAACCAGCGGACTTTGTGTAAAAGAAGTTGTGACAGGCACATGTGGGTGGACCTGATCCAAACAGTTGAACGTCTTGGAAGAAGAAAATGAAGTTTCCTAGAAAGAGGGAACTCTGCCTTAAAGGCCTGAGGACTCCCAGCTGCAACATCAGCTCTTCCCTGGGTTTCCAGCTGTGGCTCTGCGCTGGAGATTTCTGACCTGATGGCAGCACCATCAGGTGAGCCAACACCTTTACATAAAACTCTCTATATATGTATATGTGTAATAGTGTGTATACATGTGTATACATAGCAAATATACACACATATTTATGTGTGCATATATGCATAGTTGTATATGTGTGTGTATATACACTGAGTGGCCAGATTATTCTGACCTCTGAACACGTAATAATCTGGCCACTCGGTGCATATCCTATATAATAAAAGGCTAATATGCAAATTGTCCCCAGATTATTACGCGTTCAGAGGTCAGAATAATCTGGCCATTCAGTGTATATTGCATGTTGTGTGTATGTGTATATATTATACATGTAAACATACTGTATATGCACACCTATATATGTATGTGTATATGTGATATATAGGTATATGTGTATATATTATACATATAAACATGTGTCTACATGCTGACATTTTATGTACTGTATATATGGTGTAAATATATGCTATATATTTATACATATATAGTATACATAAGCACTTATAGACATGTAAGTATATGTGTGTATATATTATACATGTGTCATATTGTATATTACACACATGCTTATATACAGGTGTATGTACATGCACACATACATTCCATGGGTTCTATTTGGACATCCTTCCTAACACAGCTACCTGACTATGACAATTGCCAGCTATATATTTATATACCTGTGTATATGCATTGCAAATATGTACATATGTGTGTGAATATATTGTATATGTATTATACCCTGTTTCCCCAAAAATAAGACAGTGCCTTATATTAATTTTTGCTCCCAAAGATGTGCTAGGTCTTATTTTCAGGGGATGTCTTATTTTTTCCATGAAGAAGAATACGGTACACATTTATTGATAAATGAAAATAAAGGAAATTTATTACCTGTATACGGTATGGTAGTACGGTAGTTGTCAACACAAATCAGACAAACTGTGAATCCTACAGTATCAAGAATTTACTCATTTATTCAATGACAATCATGTCATCATCTTCTGGAACATCATCATAACAATCCGATTCCTGAATTTCCTGGTGAATTTCTTGTGACTCCATTTCTTTCAGAATCAGTGGACCAAATCTCTCATGTTTAGCCTAGGGGGGCCTTATTTTTTGGGGGATGCCTTATATTTCACTCAGAAGGAAACCTGTAAGTAGGTCTTATTTTTGGAGGATGTCTTATTTTCGGGGAAACACGGTTATTTGTTGGTTCTGTACAGCTAGGGACCCAACCTCTCGTCTTTTCAGTAGCTCACATAAGTGTCACAATCGCCCAGGAAGGGAGGTGATGCTGCCCTCCCCAGAGGAGGTGCATGAGGGCCAGACATGTGCAGCAAAGTACCCACGTTCACATGGGCTTGAGGTGGGAAGGCTGGGAGTGGAGCCCTGCAGCACACACACTCCTGTGGGTGTTGCTTTACCAGCAATGCCGATGGAAAGGGACCAGGTCTGAAGGAGGAGATGTGGCTGCTTCCATTTGTGTGAAATCCCAACCAAGGCCCACTGACAGAGGTTAAAGTCAGGTTAGTGTTACCTTGGAGTGGGGGTGGGGGTTACACAGGGATGTTCACAGCTGGGAATGTTCAGCTAAGTGGATTAAGGACCTGCAAGCATGTCCAACTCACAGGGACGCCGGCCCATGAGTTTGGGGTCCCTGCTCTGTCCCTACTCAGTACGCCCACCTCAGCCTGAGAAACCCAAAGCTCAAAGCTACCCCTCCTCCTACCAGGGAGAGGAGCCAGTCAGTTGGATTCCCTGGCTCCCAGGCTCCCTGAACGAGGAGCTATTTTAAGCTTTCATCGCATAAGACACGGCAGCTGGAGCCAGTGGCTCAGGAAACTCCCTCTCTCCTCCTCCCTCACATCTCCGGCTCCCTCTCCTCTCTCTCTCTCTCTCCCCCTTCTTCCTTCTCCTCCTCCTTCGTTCTTCCCTCCTCCCCTTCTCTACTTCCTCTCACTTTCTGCAGAGACCCTAGGGTCCTCTCAGACCCTGACTCAGGCAGCCAATCAGAAAGTAGCTCACAGCAGCTGCTCCTGTCCAACTCCTCCCGTGAGGGATGTCAGAGCAAGCCATGGCTTGATGGGAATTTGGGCCCAGGGCCATCAACAGTGCTATTCCCCTGCATTCTTCCTTAGACTCCTCTTGCTAGTGTCACTTCCCTCACCTTCTCCAGAACCTTCCTGCCCTCTTCCCACAAGGCCAGGTTCCAGGATATGCCTTATATCTCCTATGTCACCACACTTACACTCCTGGCCCACCCTTCCCTGCCTGGGTTCTTGGGTAAAACACTTAACCTCTGACAAACAGCTGCTACTAACAGCCCCTGCATCGGGATGTTTGTGAGGACTGAGTGAATTAATATGAAAAGTGCTAGAACAGTGCCTAAAATCAGTTATTTGCTATCACACTTGCTGTTGTAGCTGTTACTGCAGTGAGGTAGGGTGACCAGCCATCTCAGTTTGCCCAACACTGCCTCAGCCTTCAGACTAGAAATCCAGGAAACCTCTTGGTCCCAGGCAAACTAGATGGTGGGTCCCTCCATTTAGGATAAACCCTTTTCCTGATCTTCCATCCACCACATAGGCAGAAAGGAAATCTCCCCCTCCTTCCTTCCATCATTATAACCCTTTATTTAGTCATCCACTCATGAATAAATAGTGAACTCATGCCTTTGTTCAACCCTTTATCCAACTAGTGTTTATTAAGTGTCTACCACATAGCTGACACTCACCTGAGTGCTGGGAGCATACCAGCTAAGAGAGTGGATGAGGATCCCTGTCCTCGCAGAGTTCCTGTTCTAGAGAGGACAGTGAATAATGAACTGAGAAGATGTAATTTATTACACAGCGGTCAGGTCACAGGGAGCGTTAAAGCAGGAGAGGGGTGGAAAGAGGGACAGCTTTCTTTTTTAAAAAATATATATTTCTTTATTGATTTCAGAAAGTAAGGGAGAGGAGAGAGAGATAGAAACATTAATGATGAGAAAGAACCATAGATTGGCTGCCTCTCGCACACTCTCCACTGGAGATCGAGCCCACAACCCAGGCATGTGCCCCTGGCCAGAATTGAACCTGGGACCCTCCAGTCCACAGGCTGATGCCCTATCCACTGAGCCAAGCCAGCCAGGGTGAGGGACAGCTTTCAGTGCAGGCACTGACCCTAAAAAGGCTGAGTTCACCCAGGGCCATACTGGCAGCTTCAGCACAGCTGTGTTCTCCACGGTGACTGCTCCCAGGGCCCCCTGAGGATATCTGTGGTTGTCAGTACTCTGGCAGCTAGTGGGTGGGTGCCAGAGATGCTGCTCAACACCCCACGGTGCCCAGGTCACACTCACAGAGAATGACCCAGTCCCAGCATCAGGAGACCTAGCTCCTGCAGAATCCAGTGAGGACCGGGACTCTGTCCTGGTCACCTCTATATCCTGAGATTACCTGCAATGGAGCAAACCCGGTGGGGCTCAGACAAGCGTTGTGGGTGACATGACAAATGCCATGCCCATTCCACCTGCCACTCCATGAAATGGTGGAATTGAACCCCAGCTGTGATGGTCTATCTATCACCCCCTGTGCATCTCTTTCCAGAGTATTTCCTCTCATCACGGTCACAGTCCCATCACAGGCTGAGTTCCCTGGAGATGCTAAAAACAAGGGCTTAAGTGCAGGTTACTAATTTGAGAAGTGCAGACAACAGCACGGAGTGGTGGGCAGTGACACAAAGGAAGAAAAGGCAGCAAAAAAAGGGTGATTCTCAGGCCTGCTGCCACAGAGAGCAACTGGAGCTTCACCCTCAGAGGGACTGGTGCACACACCTTGGAATTAGCCCACCGGGGAAAGGTGAGATAACTGGGGTACTTCTCTACCAACTCCTATCAGTTCTCTTGGGGTGGACTTGATGGAGGTATGCATTCCCAGGCATGTTTACCCTACACAGTCCTGGGTGTGTCCTCAGGTACAAGACAAAGATGCTTGGCTGTTGGAC